TTTATTTTACCACTAACTTATTTTGTTTGCCCTGTTAAATTGTTGTCAAAGGAGGCATCGAAAACCATCTCAGGTATTGATTTTTACACATTGTGACTGTAGCTCATAGTCTCTTGATTTGCCACCTGCGGTTTAAAACTGAATATGCTTATGGGATTGAAGTCGATGTGCATTAGCTCTTAGTCATTTATAGCTCTTTTAGTATATTGCTAATTGCAATTCTAGTTAGATGAGTAGTCTAAGGAATATTTTTGCAATAGAATTGTCATTGATCAGAACTTCCTGTTTGAGTTGTTGATTGTGACTGGCTTTCAGATAACTAGCATTTGTATCTGGTCTTGGATAAACTCATCTGCTTAATATTTTCTAGATCTATCCATATATTTTAATGTAATACTAATGGTAATGATCAGGTACACCATTTTATTCAAAATTTCAGATCAGACTCAGATCCAGGTGATCAGAGTCATAGAAATGGAACTGATTTCAGCATGTAGGATTTTAAAATTTGTATTTAGTCTTTGTCACAGAACAAGGCACAATGGGAATAGCTGTTACTGTGCTCTTGCAGATGTTGCTGCAATGTCAGATTTATTCTATTGATGTAGTGGACTGTCAAATATTTTTACAAGCTGGATAGTAAATTACCATTTGCACACATCCATGATTGCATCATGAATTCAGACTCTTTTTTTAGTAGCATAAAATACCCATCATGGAGGTATATTGTGCTACATGGGACCCTGAAATGGAAAGAGGTAACATAGCCAGGAATTAACTGAATGTTTTCTCCTTTTATTTCTGGACCAGCATAACTGAATGAAGTAGGTGATGTTTGAATTTCTTTGTCATGATGTCTTTTTCCTTTTTCCTTTTTCCTTTTTCCTTTTTCCTTTTTCCTTTTTCCTTTTTCCTTTTTCCTTTTCCCTTTTCCCTTTTCCCTTTTCCCTTTTCCCTTTTCCCTTTCCCTTTTCCCTTTTCCCTTTTCCCTTTTCCCTTTTCCCTTTTCCCTTTTCCCTTTTCCCTTTTTCCTTTTCTTGACATTTTGTTATTGTTAATCCTAGGAATGGGTTTCATGTTTCATGCTCTGATGATCTGGAAGCATACTGGAAGCATAGACACAAGCTCAGCAAAGATGAGAGAAGAAAGCAAACGTTCACAGCACCTTCCTTCAAACTACAGTTCAGAAACTATCTATTGCAACTGGTTATCTATTGCAAATCTAGATGGTTAAATTATTCAGTCTAGACATAGTGCAGAGTGAGAGGAAGTGACAAAGATGCTCCCAAATTGGGAGGCTCTATGTAGAGAGAGAAAATGTTTCTGAGCACAATTTGTAAGAAGTTTGAAAAATTCATGGAGTATGGGAGGGGAAAACATTTTTTTCTAATTTTTCTTTTCTCCCCTCCTCTCCCATATTGGACAAAATGTGTTTAATGGTTTTTTTGTGTTCAGGATGTATTTCTCCTGTAAACTGAATTTATCAGGAATGTTTTCAGGGAACTACCTTTAACCCATAAGTAATAATTGTTGTGTTGTTGATTGTTCTTTTTTATCCCTTGGCTTAGTGAAACAATGTGATCTGTTAAAAGTTTTTTTGTTTTGTTTTGATTTTTTTTTGTTCCCAAATCTTATAGCATCAATGACAACTTGGGGGGATGGATTTATCCCTCCTCTTCATCTTCTTCCCTATCTGACCATCATCCCCTAGAGAACAGTATACATTACAATTGCAGTCCCTGAGGCCAAATGAGAGCAGTCATAGGTTGGTGTGCTGATATATTCAATATATTGACATCCTCTTTGTTAAAACCTAGCCAGTGAGAAACAGCAGGAGGAGTCAGATTAGCAGAGGAGCCTCTTCTGACTATCAATTTTCTTGTGCCTTTCAGTGGTTCATTAATTCCTCTAACAAATGCTTCTGGGATAGCTGGCTGGTTGAAACCATCAGAATCCAGCAGAATAGAGGTGGTCATGGCTGATAATGTCAATTCCCCTTTGTGAAGTCCTCTCCCTATGGGAATCCTCTTCCTATTCATTTAGTATGGAAACAATATTGAACTCCCTACAAATACTGAGTATGTTCATGTCGAGCATGCTATTCTGCTTCTTCTACAGTTTATGTAGATACCAGGAAAGTATGAACCAGTAGTTTCACAAGGGAGACAAAAGGTGGTAGGACAGAGCACTGCAGAAATTAGCACTGTGCAAGAATTGTTAATATGGAAGCTGTGTGTTAGTTTTGTTTCACTGTAGTTAAATGGAATTGCTATAATGTTTCTAACAGATAAAATTAGAAATCAAAAATGTTTAGCACTGTATACCATAGCTGTTATAAAACAGCAGACTGGAATGAGGCTTTTACTAATTTCAAAACTTCTACATATGCCTTATATTGCAGTGACCTAGAAAAAGGATGCCTGTTAGAAGACAATAGGCAAGTCAAAAGCTATTTTTGGTACACTTTTTCTTTCTTACGAGTCCCTCTAGTACCTATCATTTCTGAGACAGATAGCTGTGAAATAATAAACATTACAGAAAATCAACTTTTGTCCAGAAGTAGTGACAATGATAGAAAATCTGCATGTGATTATTCTATTCAGCTCTTTTTAAAAAATGTTTTCTGTGTACCATGGACTTTGGGGATCTGAGTGCTACAGCAAAGAAGGATCATGGCAGGTCTTTCATAACACCATGTAATATTCCAGATAGCTGTTTTGGGGCTATTTATTGAATAAAGTTTGGAAGATTGTTACAGAGGGAATAATGACTTGTGGAGTGACTTTTGGTTTTGTGTTATCTTTTCTGTCAGGCAGTCATTCAAATCTTTTTGTCCTAGTCCCTTTGTCTCATAGATGATGTTAAGAGGTAGTAATAAACAATAATCAAATGTCATATTAATCTTATGGAGAAATATTTTCTTGAAATGTAGATTAAAGTTACTTGCCTATGTGCTGGAGTAACATCTGAAACTTTAGTCTGTCATGCCTGGTCTGCATTAATGTGTTCTGAGTGTTAAAGGGTCTCAAAATAGGAAAATCCAGATGGTGTAACCAAGGAACTCATAAAATTTACTCTCTTGATGGAGAATGCATTTTTTATGTCTGTGGATAAACAGAACCCTATGTCAATGGCTGTAGTGTGTTAATAGTTTCTGTTTTGGTTGGTCAACTTTTAAAGGGTTTACTCTAAAGTTAGAGTATTATCTATCCTTTAAAAAAAATCATAAATTTAGTCTGGGAGCAGCTTGATCAGACCCTATCAAATTGCCCTTTTGTTTTGTACTTTGTCTTTTCTATAGTATGCAGAATAGTGTTCAGTGCAGTGATATGGGCTTGTTGATAGTATTTAGTCATTCCTAAAATCACCTAAGTGCCTTCAGTCAAAAATAGCTTTGTGTAAGATGTTCCCCCATCCAGTAGAGTAATTGCCAAAGTGTAATTTTTAAGCATCTGGTGTGGGCTGCTTTACTTGTCTGTTTGGAACACACTTAACTGCTGAGAAGTTTTCACCAGCTGGTGGTAGAACTCATGAAATTCTTGTAATCAGTAGCTCTCTAATAGATTAAGGCTTCCTTTGGGGAGGGCTATTGGAGTTCTGCGAAGTTTTTCACAGCTAGAAGACACACTTTTTATCTCTTCTGGGCTTTGAAATGATATAAGGCAGGACATAGGAGAGTGAAAGTAGAAAGTTCTTAAAGAAATATTTCAACTTTATCATTTTACTGATAGGGTGTCTGGAAATTGAGTTGTTGTAAAAATATTTTCATTCATATGTAACTGTAAGTAGTAAATAGCAGTCCTTAGTTTAGGGCGCTTTACCTGATGTACAGCTTTAGAAAATAATAGAAAAAGGTAAGGACAAATTCACCTTAACCATTAAAGGAAAAGCAGAAGTTAGACTTTTTTCTATTTTTCTAATCCAGACTATACAATATTGATGATTTCTGATGTTGCTCCTTTGCTTTTGGGGTGAAGAGTATTTTGATATGTATTGTTTTAGTTCAAGAAAAGGTTATTTCAAGTTAAGTAGAAAAGATTTGTGATATGTGTGTAGAAATTTTTGGTTGCATTCCACAGACATGCTATCTCTGTATGCTAACTTGTTATTACGTTGAATAGAAATAATCATTTATTAAAACTTGTATTTGCTGCTCTCCATCAGAGCTACATCTGAAAATCCTAAAAAATGTCATACTCATAATCAGCGGAACTTGCAGTCTGCATAATTCCAAGGATGGAAGGGGCTCTTTGTGGGCTGCTGTGATCCATATATCACTCTAGGATGTTTGAGGGTGCTATTCATGTGCTTGGGAGACCTAAAGATGGATGTGCTCAGCCAGTGTAGCTGACCGTAACACACTGACTTCAACTGAAGCATGGAGATAGATGCTCCTGCACTTGTTGAGCAGTGTCTCCAGTTACGTTTGCTACCTCAGTGACATCTGTAATCACCTATAATCAAGTAATTCTGTGTATTATGATACCAGACAGACCAGTCTTAATTTTCAATAAACTAGTTGTATATAGCCCCATTGTAGATATGTCACATGGGATGAGGCACTATGTGCCCTGAATACCTGACTGGCAATTATCTATGGGACATTAGACAAAATGTCTTACATGCATTTTACAGATCTTTTTATGGCCCAGGAAATAGGGGCTGATTTCATGAGCTGTTTACAATAAATATGCCCATTAAGAGAGTGTGCTGTAGAAAGAGGGACAAGATTTTGTCACAGCTGTTTGAAATGGATTCAGAATGATGCAGGGTGTGGGATAATATTTGAAGTGGATAGTTAATATGTGCAGCAAAGCAAATTAATAAAATAAACAATCCTCAATGGTTTCTTTCCCCTTCTTCACTTAGTATTCTTATCTTCCTGTCTATTTTCCATTTGTCATTCTCTCTGCATCTCCGGTTGGTACTATACCTGATTTTTTCTGTCGCAGAAGTCCCTCTTTAATAGAGAGCTACTCTCTACACACTGCAAGTGTGTTTGTTTTGTTTTCCAGGAAGCCATTATATGGATTATTTCAATACAATTCCAATATGATTGGACTAGAATCATTAGATGATCCTTCAGACACCTGGGAGATTATAGAGACTATTGGAAAAGGCACTTACGGTAAAGTCTATAAGGTTGCCAATAAGAAAGATGGGAGTCTGGCAGCAGTAAAGATTCTGGATCCTGTCAGTGTAAGTACGAATATTTAACTTCATTGTTAATTAAAGAGTTCTTAAAGAGATTGGAAATGCAACTCATGGTTAAGGAGCAACTTCACAGAATGCATCGTTGGAAGTAAGCAAGATTTGGTACTCTGTTTCTGGTATCGAGTTTGGCAATGGAAAGGCGCAGCCAACAGTTTCATTGTCCTGTATGTTATCTGAAGACAATATTTGCCTATTTTCATTGTAACCCTATATAATTCTTCTGATACAAATACTGGATATCTGTGCTTGGAGCATGCGTGTGATCAGAAGGCACAGAGGCCTTCCTCCTAGGGGGAGTATTGCCAACTATAGCAATGAAAATACTAGATGCTGTTAATCATAAATATTCTTATTTTAAGGTATGTATTCCATAAAAGAATGACTTTTCCTATCACAGAAGCACTGTGAACTTTGGCATATTGTATAGTAGCCTTTTAAAAAAGTGGACAGTGTTGTTGAGCAGTAGTTGAAGTAAAAAAGAAGAAGAGTTCAGGCCTAAATTTTTGGAGGTGGTTGTGTGCCAGCTTCAGCTTTTATGGGGTTTAGATATTTAAATTCCCTGAGAATCAAGACTCTAGTTTTCAGTGAAAGATTTAATGGAGAGCTGTACAGGTTGGATCAAGCTGGAGTCTGATCACAGTAGTTGGGCTAAAATACTAACAGTTGCCTTTGTCATCTGCTACTGCAGGAATTAATCTTGTTTTTTCTTGAAAAAATTGAAAGAAGGTACTAAACAGCAAGACAACCTTCTTTGTTGTCTTACCTTTGCTCATATATTAAAATATATGCATATTTTAAAAACAGTTTAGAAAATAATACATGTGTAAATCTCATATAGAGAAATGAGCAAAATTAAGCATAACTTATTTTTTGTGATGACATGTGTTGTGCATTAGAGGTAGCCTTGAAGGCAAACTGCTTGCTTTGCATACAATTCCCACCTCTGTATGTAGAAAAACAAAAGTGCCATGATCTGGTTTGGGTCAAATTTGTAATAACAACTGAGTACTGTCAGGATTTTAAAGAATTCAAAGATTGTTCTTGTTATCCTTGAGAGGTTTGTGCAGGCTTGCTGTGTTCATATAATCTGTATGTCTGTGTTTCCTGTTTAGGATGTAGATGAAGAAATTGAAGCAGAATATAATATTTTGCAGTTTCTTCCCAATCATCCTAATGTTGTTAAATTTTATGGGATGTTTTACAAAGCAGATCAGTATGTGGGAGGACAGCTCTGGCTAGTACTTGAGGTAAAAAAAATTTTGGTAATATTACATCTTAACTAGGAAACGTAGGTGGGTCTCTGCTCTGTAGTGCCAGAAGAGTCACAGACTGTCATGATTCTTTGATTAATACCATTAATCAAAGGACTCGTGATAGGTGATGTGTGGCAGTCCACTGCTGAAAATGCCTGAAGCTTTTCCTGCTTAGCAGGAAATGCCCTTACATTTTATTTCTATTTATGTTATTATTTCTGCCTCCAAAAAGCAATGGAACCTTTTGATAAGAATGGTTTGTTTGAAAGCAGCTTAATTTTTCATGTTGGAGAACATATAATTAAATCATTTCTCTAAATTTTTGAAGATCCCTCCAGTCTTTTGGGAATCAAAACAAATAGGAAGTGTAGAGTAGAGGACGGTTACCAAACATGCTACCATTACAAAAGTGAACAGAGAAAATATAACAGGAAAATGTTCGATGATAATTCCAAACTTGAAGCAGATTGCTGTTGAAGAGCTATCATGAAATGCCTTTTAATAGTTTTTTCTTATTTAATGACATTCAAAGTTCTTGCAGGGAGAAGTTTCCCTTTGGTTGTCTTTTTTGCCAGTTAATTGACTTCCAAAGATTGCTGCAAGATGAGGATTTCCTCTGAATCTATTTTCTGGACTTAATTGATGTAAAGCTCTGCAAAGAGTTATGAGCAGTAGCAGACGGTTCAGACATACAGCTGCACCAATAAAAGCTAGTATTCACTTTTTAATTACCAATCGTTTTAGAAGTGTCACTCTCTATTCTTGAATGTGCTAGTAATCAGAATTGGGAATCACCATTTCCTTTTCAACTTTAAGTCACGGAATTCTCACAGTACATCTGACTAATACACACTTTTGTTTGAAGGAAAATACTTAAATGTGTGTCTTATGCTAAATCTCAGTAATTACTAAAAGGGAGATATAAGGGTTTTTTGACTTTTTCAACTATGTGCTATTTTCTGGCTTTGCAGTGAATAATGTGCTTGATTTCCCCTTTGCTTCATTTTTTATTGCAAGTGTAATGTGTTGGACAGATAAATCACACGTGCTTTTCTGTATAACACAAATCTATACAGCAAAATTGTGCAGTATGCAGTGCAAGAAAACTGATGAATGCACAATTTAAGGGAGTTAGATCTTTGTACAGACCTTATCAGTTACCTCAGTATGTTGATGTCAGGTGTTTTTTTGGTGCCTAATATCGAAAAATTTTGAAGAAACTTAACGTTCAAAAATTTATACTTTTTATGTAATGTAATTTTATGTAATTTATAAGGATATAAAGATGAATTTACCAGGAAATGTCAACTATTTAATGCCTTAGAATTTAGGTATGTCCAAATTTATGCATATGTATCAGTTACTTTTTATATTGGAAATTAATGATTTTTTTTTTCTTTAAAAGGGAATATACAAAGCAGTCAGTTGCTTTGATCCCTGAGCCTTTTATAAAATATATTAATTGGATAGCAACTTCTAAAATCTCTTTTTTTTCTCCTGAAGGCAAAATTCTGCCATGTTTGCCATGTACAAACAGGACCTTTACTTAGGTAAAGTCTGAGATAAGGAAGAGTGGTGGAAGTAGACATTTAGAATTTTGTTGGTTCAATTTAGTACATAGAGAATTTTAAAGATAAGCATTTGCATTTCTTGGATAGGCATAACAGAAAATACTGTAAAGCAGACTCGCTACTTTTCCATCGAAACATTTACCACTCTTAAGTACTACCAGGAGACACAAAGTGTAATGAAATTTGAGAGTTCATTTTATCCCAAATCTTTGCTAACCGTTGACAACAGAATTACTGCCAGCTGCAGTAACAGTGTTTGTGTGGTTTATTTATCAAAAACATACTCTACAAAGCAACAGTGTGTATAATTTTCAATTTTCAGTCACAACCTTTTTTTTTTTTTTTTTTTCGCAACCTTTTTTTTTTTTTTTTTTTTTTTTTTTTTTTTTTTTTAAAGTGTTGGCCTACTTTTTCTAAATTCTGTGAGGAAAGAAGTGATGGAAATTAGATTAGTACAACCTGTTGCGATAGAACACCGTGCAATGAAAGCAACAAAAATACTTGACTTAATCATTCCTTAGTGGCTGAACATGGGAAGAAAAAAATGTGTATTTTATTCTCCAGAAGATGAAATTTTCCTATAATTATATTTGGTGCTCAGTGCTGATCTGAATGCTACCATGCAGTCAGTTTTTTAAAATGTCCCTATGGAAGAATTACTAAAAAGGAAAGTCAGAATCCTGCAGGAATCACCAGGAATCACCACTACCATCAATGAAATTTTGCTTCACAATCTCATGGATTTCTAGTGTATCATGTGATCTAGTTCTTTCCATGAACTAAAACTTTTAGGTAAAAACTTTTTGATGCAAGGGTATTTAGTAATGTGTGAGAGAAAATTCCTATCACATATCACAGGAATTGCAGTGTTGGAGCTTGTAGGCGACTGGTAAAGTTTATCTATGAAGTGCAAAACTCAAAGCATTTGCAGAGCTTTTGGTTTTATATCATTCTCCTGATTTATGTTGTAGAACTTTACGCTTAATACAATGTAAAATGAACTCATGTTGAAGGGCATGTCATTTTTGTATGGTGGAAAAGTTGGTAAGGGAGCATGCTACAGAAACAGATTGATGCTTCAATTCATTAATTTTAATGTTTCGATGAAAGGAATATTCAGTGAAATTCAATGAAATAGGTTATTTTTTCCATCATTTTGCTGACAAACAATTGTAAATATTAAAGTAAGAAAGGATAGAGGAAAAATGGGAAGAGAAGAGGAATTGCTGCTAGAAAGACCTAGTGAACTAAAAATGTGGATGAAAACTTACATACAAAGATTGGAATTCTAATTTTTCTTCTTCGCTTCCCTTGAGGTATAGCTGCCTGTTAGTGGAAAATGCTTCCAAGAAACTGCTTTTCTGGATCAGAATGTTTCATCTCAGTTGTTGGCAGCTCATGCCATCAAGTCTGAGTATAGAGATATGGCTTCTGTCTATTTTATATTGCCTGCAGGAGCACTGATGGAGTGAAAGTTTGAAATGACTGTAATTTGTTGCCTCCCAGTTATCAGGAGCATCAGTCTTGTCTTTCTGACCTCTTCTTTGCACAAAATTAGTTTCTCAAAAGAACAGTGCACATACTGTGAAAATATTCAAGTTAAATTGCACTTGCAAATCCTCTTATAGGAACAAGGTATTAAAATATTTTAATTTTTAATTTTATTTTAAAAGTTACATTTTATAATCTTCATTTTCAGCTTTCCTCCCCACACTCAAAACACTGATTTATTATCAGCATTGCTAATCAAATGCATTCTATGGCAGGCAGGACAGCTTAACTAGTTGCAACTAAAAGTCTAGTTGTTCCCAGAGTTGTGTTGTAGTGCGGCTTGGCACAGTGTGTGTTCACAGTCTACAAAAGCGTGTTGAGTAACTGAGGTCTTCTCCTGCTTGCTTCCTCCTTCCACCCCATGCCGCTTCCCCTTCACAGCTATGCAACGGAGGTTCTGTCACGGAGCTTGTCAAAGGCTTGCTCAAGTGTGGCCAACGGTTGGATGAAGCTGTAATCTCATACATTCTGTATGGTGCTCTCCTGGTAAGGATGTTCACTGGGCTTTTAATGACAGCAGAGGGTGCAATTTACTGTCATACATAGATTTTCCTTTTCTAAAGTATGGTGATGTTGAAAGTGTTGCGTGGCTATTATAACAGCAGGGGTTGTAGCAAGCATGTAATCCAGTGGACATTCTTTATAGGGTATGTGCATATTGTCTTTATTACATTCCCTAACATTAAGGTAATTTTTAAATAAGAGAGTGAACTTATTTTTTGTTTCTGCTTGGCATATAGGGCCTTCAGCATTTACACAATAACCGGATCATTCATCGTGATGTCAAAGGGAACAACATTCTCTTGACAACAGAAGGTGGAGTCAAGCTCGTTGACTTTGGTAATGACTGCTTCTCATTTGTTTCCTTGATAGATGCAGTTTAGCCAAAGGCATCTGTTTACTTTTCATTGGGAAGGCAGAATGACAAGGTGAAGAGACTTTTCCAGGAAAATACGCAAGATTAATTTAGGAAGAGATAGGGAAAAGAAACCTGATACAGCAATAGTAAAAATTCTAGCCAAAATTCAGGTATAGACTTTTAATTATAAAACTTAAGTAATGACATAAAATATTTTCAGAGGTGCCATTTTATATACAAAGCTTTTTTGCACTTTACAAGGAATGTCAGTTCCTGGCCAGTTGTCCTTCCAATTTAAATTTAAATGATCCATCTTTTGCATATGAAAAGGAATCTTTCTTCTCTCTCAAATGACTTTTTACTAGCCTGAAGCAAGGTTATTCCCACTGAGCAGAAGGTAAAATGGTCCCCTGGGTTCAAAAGACAACATCCATTTAATTTGTGATTATTGCTGTTAAATACAGATATAGCTACTCAGGAGAAGAAACAGAAACAGAAGAGATAGAAAGATAGATAGAAAGAAATAGACTTGGCAATAGAATTGGATTCAGATTAACATTTTCCCTCTGGGTGCTTGGAGAAATAAGGAGATGCTGTAGTCCCTCAGATGACTTTGTAGTAGAATGAATAATTTTATTAACGGTTAACAGGAAAAAAAAAGATCAGTAGTGTGTGATTTATTAGTGAAATCATACAATGCATCAGGTAATCATCAGTGAAAATGGTATTGTGTGAATAACAGTTGTTTGCTTAATAAGGCATGAAGGTAAAGAAAAACATATACAAAATAAGACTAGCATAAAATTGCATGCTAGAAATCCTGTGAATAGTAACATTACAAACAATTCCAAGAGCATGAAGTGCATGCAGTGTAAAACAAATTTAATCCCAACAATGTCAGAGTATTACAAATTTAACAAAAAAATCTACTGAAGATGATAAAGTAAGTTAGGAAGCAAGTGTCTCTAGTACCTTCTAGGATCAGAAATTCATTATGTTGAATGGTAGAGCCAACAATTAAAATAGTGCTGAGAGAAAGATGTGACCCTCAAGTAAAACTTGCAGTGGCTATCTGGACTAGTAGGAGGAAAATCATCAATTTTCATTTGGGAGTGCTTTTCCAGTAGTATCTGCATCTCTAATTACTCCCTTCTGGGAAAAGTTGTTTCTTCTTTCCAAATGAGAAGAAGAAAAAAGCCTTATCAGGTGTATCAAAAACATTATCTGCAGCTGAAGCTTTGTTTTGAATCTATTGGCTTTGCTGCACGCACACTTGCCCTTGAAAACAAGTGGCACATTCTAGGAACCTGAGAATTTCAACCTCCTGGTGTCCTGTGGGAAGATACTAATGGAGGTTTCAGGTTCTTTTTTTCTTTTTTTTTTTTTCCAGTTTTAAACTTAAACTATAACGCTGGAAAATTGTAACAAATACAGCTACCTCCCAAAGGACATGAGCTAGCTGCTTAACAGTGAAGAAGCCTTACCAGTTGCCCTGAAGAAGCATCGTGGCTGCACGCTCTCATTGCACTTCTCCCTGCATCCCCCGGCCTTAGTCACAGAGAGAGCTGTGGCAATGAGTTAGAACTGAGTCACAGATGAAATTGTTGTCTATAGAGTTGTTTTTCTTATTTGTTGTCGAAATTGTAGGATGTGCAGTGAGAGATGCAATTAGTTCAGGAAGAGAAAGGTCTCAATTGAGTGGTATAAAATTGGAGTCTGTTCTTGCTCTGCCACAGATGATGTTGGCAAGTCAATTGTATCAGACTTTTGGAGGCAGCCACTGTGTACTGCTCATTTTCCTGGTATCTTTTCTGAAACATGTTCCTCTGCTTTACAGAAGAGCTGAGTATTCTTGAACTGCAGTTGAAAACTGTTATAGCTACTCCAAGTATCTGGAGTGCCTGAAAACTGAAAGATCTCAGTTTAAATACCCCAAAACAGTAGATGCGTTTCATAAACTCAGAGATTAACCTAGAATGTTAAGGAAATTTATTGTATGATAAGGAGGGAAGGAAACAGGTTGAAGGAAAGGAAGATAAACATTTTTGATTTTGTATAGGATTTAATATAGTAAATAATGGACAGGAACTCCAATTGACAGATATAAAAGGAAATATTTCATAGCTACCTGTTCACCGAGCACTGTCCATTCTGTGCCTGGAGTGAGGCAGAATCTTGTGGTTAAAAAAGAAGAAGAAGAAAAAAAAGGATTTCATAACTGTGGCTGTGCAAATGGCTTTGGTCACAGATAGCATTACACAGACATTGTCTTTAATGGCGATATTTCTCTACCTTTATTTCATGACTTTGTAACTTGACTTTTCACTGTAATACACATTTGCCTCTATTGGTCACGGGCTAAGCTGACCTGAAATATCTGCACTTACCATTGATTCATGTTCTCTTGCACTCTCTTGCGCTCCCTCAGTTCTTTGGCATTGTGTGTTGTTTTGGTGAGTCCATAGATAGCAGCTGCAAATTTGGCTAGTTGAAGAGAACTCAGACTTTAATGCACAGAGGCTCGCTGTGCTTTCCAGCCCTTAGCTGTTTCACAGTGGTAACCTGGAAGTGACTGAAGGATTCTAATTATACTGAAATGAAAAATAAATACAGTGTTGAATCTCGAAGCAGGCAATTTAATAATTTGATGTAGAGATTGTGTTATTGTTTGATTTCACTGTAGTCCCTTCCTTCCTCTTTACAGCTGTGCTACAGTAGTCCATCCCCAACCAGAACTGAAGCACAGGCTTGGTTTTAAGCCTGCGTTTAACTCTGTACGTACGAGCTTCAGTGTGAGTTTGAGCTTGTGCATTTTCTTGGTAGGGAGAAATGTAAGCAAGTGCATAATTGTTTTGTTGAACTGTAATACTCTGCAAATACTCCAGTGGTCAAGATTCCTGCCAGTAGTGTTCAGGGAGTGAATTTCAGCTGGACTTTGGTCACTATTTCTGGAACAGAAGTTTTAAAATAATTTTGTGTTTAGGATGGTTCCGGTTTATGTTCATGAAAACAACAGATAGACATGTCTCTGTAATTTAGGTTGCCAGTTAAGTATTTTGAATTGAATGAAAGTGCTTCTTACTGAGAGTCATTCACAAAAAGCAATTCTGAAAGGAAACAGCAAGCTGTGATCTGCCTGGGACAAGCTATGATTAAAGTAAAAAATGAAATTAATCAAGTAAATAATTCATTACAAATGATGCATCTCCTCTGATCAGATTTCTACAGCTTGGGAGTTGTTTTCTGGACACTTGAAATAAAGTGCCTGAAATGACATAATGAATTTGAAGCCAAGTTTGGGTCTGTTTTATTGTAGGTGTTTCAGCCCAGCTCACAAGCACACGTCTGCGTAGGAACACCTCAGTGGGAACACCCTTCTGGATGGCACCTGAGGTAGGCACACATTTTTCATAACCCAGTTTGTGTTGTCTCTGTTTCATTACAATGCACTTTGTTGCCAGTTCCACACAGTTCGAAAAAAAAAATGTTTTCTATACCTGGTATGGCTTTATTTTGACTTCCCTCTACATCTATGGACCGTGTTCAGTAAGATAAGCATAGTGCTAGAATATTCAAAAGGGATTGGCAATGTTATCTTCTCTGTAATTTTTCTGGAGAAATTTAGATCTGTAATAACCAAGTGTTTCCTTGAAGATTTTGTGACTTTCCAATCAAATACTTTATTTTAGCTCTATATAATTCTATAAATCCCTTTCCTAGGTGAAGAGCTTTAAGATGGCATATTGAGGGAAGCCTTTCACAAAATTCTCAGGTTTATAGCAGGTAGGGCTCTGCAGTTGAAACCTTAGAATGGTGGTTTCGGTGGGGTTACTAAATTTGTATGTATTGTCTTCCCCAGACATATCCATTTTTCTTCCATTTCATGAAGATTAGAATGTTTTTGCACACTGTTAAATAAAAGCTGTGCATGCGCTGTTCTTAAATTTGGGTAGGAAAACATTAGTCTTGACCCTTTTCCTTTAAAAAGCAAGAAATATTTTCATAAGGTATGGTTTATAAAATTAAAAGTTAGGGAATGAATCAGGATTTTCTGTTTTTTTGTAAATTGTTAAATCCAAGTAACAGTAGTTCCCTTCAACAGAAATGAGGCTACTGGATTTATTTTATTGGAGTTTTGGGGAATTTGGAATAAATCTTGCAGTTTGCATTTATTAAAAGCCCACAAAGGCCTCTGTATGGCAAATAGTTTAAATTATCATGCAAACATTTGTTGCTTTTAAAATATTTTATATTGCCATATGCTCCTCTTTCTCTTGCTAAGGAAGATTGTAGCTAGGGATTACAACTGAGCAGAGAAATGAAGCTGCTGTAAGGGATCCAAAATTTATCTCATACAGTCTCATAAAGAATAGGTGATATTTTACCATCTCCATAACAACCAGTTTACATCACAAAGGGGACACAAGATCCCTTAGTAACTACTGTGTAAGCATTATTTATTAAAACACCTTGCTTGGAGACATTCAGAAGCCTACATAAAAAGTATGCTTATTTAGACAGTAATGGGTATTTTCTGAAATATTTTATTAAACTCAGTTTATAAAAAGTATTTTTACAATACTATTTTGCTTGAACAATTGTAATCAAAGGCAGTAATCATACCAAATTTATCACTCATCCTGCTTGAAAATAGTCATTCTTGAAGTACAAAGCCAAAGAAATGAGTAGACACTTTGAAATAATTTAAATCTGAAAATAGCACACACCTGTAACCAAGTTATATGATGAGCTTAGCACATCAGAAGAAATATAAGAGTAGTTCTTAAGCACTGCCAGTTTTGAGAAGTTTTTATAAATTATGAAGCCAATACCATAATCATAGTAACTCATACCACATCTGTGTGCCTGTGTGAGCCACACTGCTCAGGCTTCATGGATCTACTAATCTGCAGAACAGCTGCGAGCTGCTTGCATACCCATTATGCTGAGCTGGCTTTTGAATGACAAGTTGTATAACACTTCTGCTTAAGCCATTACAGTTGCTTTCCTTGTGTTCATGTGAATGACATATTTCAACTGATGTGTGAGATGCAGATTGCTTTGCTTTGGGGAAGGCCTGTTTGGTATTTTTTAAATATGCGGGTGAATTCTTACATGAAAGATGAAAGATTAAGACTGCAATAAACTGAAAAACCCTGTCTGGATAGCAGCTCTTTTAAGAACTGTGATTTTTGAATGAGACTGGTAGAATCAGTAAAGACTAGAAAAACCCTAAACAGTCACAGAAATCTTGTTGCCTGCAGGTTTTGAAGTAGGATATAATCTATTTAGAAGCAAAAATCAAAAAATAAATGAGTGGGCAAGAAGGAAATATGACTCGGGGAAGCTGAGAGCATGAAGATTAGGATCTATTTATTTATTTATTTATTTATTACCTGACTCCTGTTATCTTTCTGTGAAACATGGGAGCCCTTACGGGTGCATAAGGCAGTTGTGAGACCTCATGTCATCCAAGTGGAAGAAAGATGAGCTTAATCTGAGGTGGAACAGAGAGGGCAGATGAAAAGTCAGCCTTACAGGAAAGGACAACAGGAGTGTTTTAGTGAAATGAACCTTGAGAAATGAAGCTGATAGGCAATATGATTGCTGTTCAGAAATACATTATGGGTAAACCTCAGGAAAATAAAATTTAGAGGAGGATGCAAAAATTACTCAAGCTAACAGCTGTGAATAACTGGATATAAGTGGGGCACAACTATGCTAGAAACTTGAACCACTAGGTCATCCTGAACTGGGAACAGTCTGCATAAAGAGGAACATCAGCATATTTTAAGATAATACTTCCAAAATACATGAAAGGAATTATATGACATTGTACTTGCAATAGCAAAAGATCAGAGGAAATAGCAGTGATAGCAGTGACTCAGGCTGGTATAAGGTCTCCTCTGTACTTGCTGGTCAGTGTGAAAAGCTTAACAATTTTGAGTGACAGAGACATCCTAGAAGGTTTTTTTTATTATTATTATTTTTTATTTTTTTTAATTCCTCCCCTGTAGACTCAGAGCCTCAAATAGCAGCAGCAGGACAAATTTTGTCCTTGAGCATTTTTTTTAAGCAGAGCATAGGATTAACCAAAATGTTGCTGAAAAATGAAAATGCAAGGGGAAAGCTAGACTTTGTTGAAGCAACTGAAGAGCTCAAGAAGGAAAAGTAAGCTTAAGCAGGAAACTTTGAAATAAATTCGTGAAAAAAATCATTTCTTTTTAAAGCTGCCTGTTGCCAGACAGTTATGTTACCTAAAATCTGCTTGTTACCTAAAATCTGCTTCTATCTTCCTGAAATGTTATGGAATGCTGGTAGGTAGAACTAGATCTGAAACTTTGAGATCAAAGATGTTCTCAGACAGAAAGGAGAGATGCTGAAGGTATTTAAAACCGTGTCAAATGAGCTGTTATATTTCATTGATAACCATTAGAAAATGACAGTGGTCATGGCTTAAAAGGAACATAATTAAAACACATTTAATCCTTTGAAGAACTTGGTGTAGAAGTGTGACAAAGAACAGTAAGATAGACCGATATAGTGCTGAAGGTATCATACAAGCTGAAATAATGAGTTAATGAAAGATGAAATCTTGGTGCAGTTTTGCTATTGATTTTAGAAGGACTTTGATGTCACCCAGTTATTTAAAGCTTTGTATTTAGGATATTTGTTTCTATTTTGCCAAGATAAAGTAGTGATCAGTGTCACAGAAACAACAGGTTGTTTTCCTTCCTTGTTGAATCAAGGCATATTTGCCTGGATAATATTTAGCTCATCTGAGCATGAGAACAAAATTCTAAAGTGTTAGAACAATAAATGTCCACCTTAAATCATCATGTGAAATAAGTCAAATCCTAAAACAATGAATAGTATTTGCAGTGTTATTTTTCTGTATGAAGCTGTGTCTTTGCATCATCTAATGAAAAATAAACAGTTTAACTAGTAAAGAAAGTTAATTTGCATGAATATGGTTGAAAAATATGTAAAGGAAGGATCAGATATTGCAAAAAAACTCAGCAATTTTTCCACTGATGTCAATACTCATTGGCTGTCTTCAGACTAAGGGCTGTCTTCAGGCTTAGAGTTTGGCTAGAAAGACATAGCTTGCTTTTACTAAATTAGGACATATTTATCTTATTTACCTCTCTGTTATAGGAGATCTGAAAATCAAATTTGAAAAGAAGCCAGTTAATAGAAAATAGATCACATGTAGTTGAATGAGAAGTTGGGAAAACAGTGTGGAAAACATAGCCCTTCACAATCCTGAGCTTGTGTTTATAACTAACTCTAGCTGAGTAAGTACAGCAGATATGTTCCCCTAAAACTATTGAGTACCTGCTCCTTTTTCCAGACTGCTCCTTTTTCCAGACTTCTACGAACCTTGTTTACCAGCCCTTTGCTTACTCAAGAGATTGAAGGTCAGCTTCATGTTAGCAGCTTTAGGTCTCTCTTGTTTTAATTCCTTATTAGCTAAATTTAGTTCTTCTGATATGCACATTTTCACTATGCCTTTAGATGCCAACTAAGTGTGGAATTTCTGTAAATATTAGTTTGGAATGAGCTGTAGGAATCCTCAGCTTTGTAGTACAAATAGGATGACTTCAGGAATATATATCCACATATATATCCTCCACAGGAAGGGAAGCTTAGTACACTGGCAATTACACTGATAACACAGACATCATCATATAAGAACGCAGATGCTGCTGTTTTTTTTTTTTTTTTTCTAGCTGAAGCAGCAGCTATGCAAGACTTATCAAGCTTCTATGTAGTGTGTCTAAGCAAGGAAAAGAGAAATAGAGAAAAATATTGCACTACCACTGTGCCTTGAGCCTAGGTCCCTGTATTAAGTGAGTTTGTTTAAGAGGCTGGAGTTGCCTCTGTGTTTTCAGTTTTCCCTTCATGAAGAACCGTTTACAAATGTGTATGCGCTGTGAAGTGCCTATATTTTCTGCTGATGAATAAACCTGTGCATCACAAATGAAACACATGGTAGTTTCATGTCAGTCTCATGGAATAAAGTAAAATAGGTTTATAAGTTTTCTCATGGTATGAATTGGTTAAATAAGAGGTACGAGGTTCCCTTTAAGTGTAGTCTGCTGCCAGAGCAGTTTAATGGTCTCAGGGCTATTTCACTTTGGTGAGTTTAAAAACAAAATCTTGCAGTTGTCAAAGCACAATCACTTACAAAGTTCTTAAAATATTCAATGCTTGTTTTACTGGTAACATTTGTAATGATATAATCATTCTCTGATACACCATAGAAAGATTATTTTAATAATGGATGGGCATAAATAATGAACTGAACTACAAATAAGAAAAAATAGGAATATGGAGCCATGAGAGAGAGAGATGAATGGAGAAAATCCATTTGCTCTGAGTAGTTCAGTATCCCCAGTGCTGCTAAATGCTATATTGAAAGACTGTTTTGTCCTTTTTTTTTTTTTGAGTGCATAGAACTTTTGAGAATATTTAAATTTATTTTTACCACCTAAATAAATAGAGTTTCGTAATGTTCCAGTGGACCACAGAAGTTCAATTTGTTTATTTCATTTGACTTGCACAGCTAGCAGTTTTGTTCTCCTTGCAGCAAGGGTAACAGTTTTGTGGCACGTTTTTTATACAGAGTGCTTTGCGTTCCATGAAGTGCTCATACACTGCCCCAGCTGCTTCGTGAGCTGTGTGAGCTGAGGCGAGCACCGCCTTCTGCAGGAGTGTCCACTCTTTTAACACCACCCCCTTCCTGCCCTGGTCGACTGCTGACTGTGCAGCAGTTGTCTCCAGGTAGCACATCTGTACTGCTACAATCCACCTGTACGTGCCTACAGATATACTGAATATATGTACTGAGGCAGTATGAACGTATATGGACTTATAATAATTCAGTGTAAACTTAAGGTTTGATATGTTTTGGCTGTATAGCTACTGCATATATAGCTACTCTCTGCCTGCAAATCAGTATGACTGCAGTACATGTGACAGCTAGTTCTTCCTCTCTTATATCCACCAGTGATCTATTTGTTGGCTTGTCCAAGTTCAAAGGAAACATAACTACTGTTTGTATGAAGCTTCCATGCCAAAGTGAAAGACTCTGCGCTTATGTGGCATTCAGGGGCCAGTCTCAAGATCAGCTACATCATCACCTGAAGCTTTGGGATAAATGTAGTGTTTGGCAGCTCCAGCAAAGCCAACTTCATCTTTTTCGTTTGTACTAGTGTAGGAGGATTTTGCTGTGTATAAAGTAGGTACAAATTTGATGATGGCTTTACACAAGGTAGAGAAAGGAAGTGGTATGTTCTGTAGTCTCAGACCATTTCCCCTGGCATCTCCTCTTTCATGCCCCACTGGGCTGAACAGGAAGCCAGTGCCTCAGAATCTGATGTGCACTCTCAGCTACAGAACTGCAAGAGGCAATGACAGATGTTTCCAAACACTTAAGTATCTCCTGAGTTCCCTGCAGGGATAGTAAACCCCATAACTCAGTGGGATTTTTGCATTCCTGTTTTAGAGAGTTTTGCTCTACAGAGAGCTGCCTTGATTTTCAAGGCAGAACTCAGACATTCCTCAGGCCTTAGCTTAAACTGTGACTGAGAGAACTGTTTGCTGCTTTGTCTGTTCACCAATATTAAGCAAATTGCCCACGTGCCTTTTTCATCAAGAAAAATCTGTAACATCAGTTTCTTGCTTTAAAAATCAAAACTACTGCACTTGTGTTTCTGTAGGTAGCTGAGTGGAACATAAAATGGGAAGAGTCTCATAAATTCCACAGAAAGCTGAAAATTCTTCCCAAGCCCAAGTGATCACTAAATCTGTATACATACTGCGTGTCATTGTCAAACCTACCATTCATTTGTATATTTTCTGTGAGACTGATCTCACTGTAGGCGAGTGAACCGTCTGAAACACACTTGGTTGCGTGTTTCACCATCTGAATTTTGGAAACAGAAATAATGTGGAGTAAGGGGAGTATTTTTCTAAGAGCCACTTCAGACTCTCATATTAGAATGACAGAGAATCTCATAGTGTTTAATGCTCTTTGGTTAGTGTCTGTATTTCTGATGGTGTCATTTTACTAGCGTGTACCATTTTTACTGGAGGTGCAACTGTTGGCTGTGAAGTGGGAAGCATATAAAGATACTTTATACATTTTTTCCTCTTTGTAAGTAATACACTGTCTGTGGTGCTGAGAAAAGCTCATAGGCTCTTTTTAGGTTTTTTTTTTTTTTTTTTTTTTTTTTTTTTTTTTTTTTATTAAGCAGCAGTGCCAGTATTCTTTCTCTGCACCATCCATCACAAATGTAAGTCCCTGTGATACTTGCTTTGGCTTGGCTTGCAAATAAGCTCTCGAAGAATACTGAGATATTTAGCAAGTTTTGATGTTGTATTTTGGGCCCACAGAAGCACGCCCATAATGTGATGTGCTTATAAAGGAAGAGCTGGTGGGTGTCTTTGAGTGCAAGAGACCACAGTTCCATTCCTAGCACTGCCAAGAATGTCCAATGTGACCTTGAGAAGGAGCTTTGTTTCCTGCCCTGGAAAATGAAAATATATTTCTCTGCCTCATAAAGTTGGAGGACAAATAACAAAGTATTTGTGAAGGACTCAGCACAATGATGAGAACCAATCAAATTTTGAGATAGTCCCTTTCAGGAAATGGGCTCTAGCAGTTTTTCAAGCAAGTAGATAAACATCTTTGATACATTAAAAAAAAGGGAAGGAGAATAATAACAGTGCTTTTAATTAGTCACATATGAATAAGCTCCTTGCAACTTCTTCTGAGTCATGGCCTTCGAAGCTGACTTGCATATTTTTGAGTTTTATTTAGTTATTTGTTAAGAAATGTCCTTGAGAACAGGTGATTTGGGGAATTGTATATATAAAAAACATAATCAAGAAATAAACTTCCTTTTCCATCTCTGAGCAAAGCTGCAAGAGGTTGTGGAGTCTCCTTCTCTGAAGATCTTCAAAAAACCGCCTTCACGTGCTCTAGATGTCCCTGCTTGAGCAGGGGGGTTGGACGAGATGATCTCTAGAGGTCCTTTCCAACCTCAACCCTTCTCTGATTCTGTGAAATAATTATGAAGGGAATGAGGGAGCATCAGTCAAAACTATGCAGCCTCTTTAAAATTAAATATTTGAGCGTGGATCTGCACGCTGATTTTCATATAAATTATTACAGCAAATGTAAGTTCTGGTCCTTCTCTTTAAGCCATGGTATAAGGAAATGAAATTGTCATTTAGACCTGCATCTAGACAAGGATGGCTGTTTGAGTTGCATAGAACCTGAGTGTTGCATCCCTGAGTGGTCCCTGCGAGAGACAAAGGGGTCTCTGGGATGAGATAGTATAGTGGACTCAGGAACTAAGAAACGTCTCAAGCTTCATTCAAGACACTCTATTGACAAGAAATTAGATGGGAAAATTATCCTCTTGTCAGCAATGAAAAACACTCTGTTCAAATTGATTACCTGCCCCCCCTCCCACTGTCATCCCAAGACATCTTGAGCAGTATTTACATTTTATCTGATGGTTGAGTGGAGGGGAGCATAAATGTTTGTTTTTCTCGAATGGTTTGCAGCCATGATGCTGACACTGATGTTCCTCATATAACAATTCAGAAATACTGGCCCAAAACTCCCTGAGAAGACTCTTTGACATAACAGCAATAAAGGAGGAAATACCATTGTCAGTAGGCTATGAGGAGAAATTTGCTTGGCATGCTAACATGGAAAAGTTGAGAAGGAAGACCTATTTGTATATCCAAGGAAATACTGCCTTTAACTTCATTTTTCTTCAGAAAAGGGACAGGGTGTGTTGATGATTTTTTTCTTTTTTTTAACTCCTCAAATCCAACAGAGACAGCCTAAAAAAATAGTGGAAATGAGTGATGAAATATGCTTATCTATAAAACAGCCATGCAAATCAGTCTATCCTCATGAATAATCATAGAAGTAAATAAAAATGACATCAATAAGAGTCTTTGTTATTGTAGTAGATTTCTCTAGAAATTGCTTTTAAAAACAGAATTTGGTAAAGTGTTGTTCTTCCCGTAGGACATTCAAAACCTCCCATGGATCTCAATATTAAAAAAAAAAGAAGGGCAGCGGTGAAGGGAATGATAAAGAAAGCAAGCGTAAGAGAAGCTCTAATTTATTGTTATGTTACAGGGGATTTTTCCCAGTTGGGAAATACAGGCCATTATATGAATAGCTGCTTAGGTTTTAGATGTGACTCATAAAAGTACTTTTCTGTCATATTGGAATGACATGAATTGTTCATCGAGTTAATGCTTTTTTTCCTGTTTTCTTGTGATAGGTCATTGCTTGTGAACAACAGTATGACTACTCCTATGATGCTCGGTGTGACGTATGGTCCCTGGGAATAACAGCTATTGAACTGGGGGATGGAGACCCTCCTTTATTTGACATGCATCCTGTGAAAACGCTTTTTAAAATTCCAAGGTATGGCACTAGATGGCTCTCTTGACTCACTAGTTTTTCCAAAGGTAATCTAGGCAGAAGTAAAAGAAATATTTGGTAAAAATTTTTCTTCAAATCCTGAGAATCTGTCTTTGGAAAATACATTTAAAAGGTGTAATATTGCACCTTGGCTTCTACCATAATTTGTGCTTAGGACCACTTGAAGTGATAAGTAATTACATATTTATTCTTATCTTAGAACATAAATCCATATGCTGCCCAGGTATCTACCTCCTATTAGTGGTAGTACCTTAGCAACTATTGATACAAACATTCCTCTCAAAAGAGGAAGAAACCAGCATTTGAAACTGCAATGTTTTAAAAATTTCTTCTAGAGCCCTAGGCTTGTTTTACTGAGAAAGAAAAGCTGACAATTTTGATAGTGCTGTGAAACACTCCCTCAGTTGCAGCAATCTATATTCATTATTTATTTTTTACTTACCAAGGATGTTAAGATTTAGATCTTCATACATAGTAACAAAAAAGGAATTGAAATTCCCTCCATGTATATTCATGCAGATTAGCTGTATTATTTCATGAAGACTATTTTCAGTTTCGTTTTGACTTCATTTTCGTTACTTCTGAACATGTTAAGATTAGACTGACAGGGTAAAATAGGGTTTAGCAGCAGAACAATTGCAATAATAAGAAAAATATATCAAAAAATTGTCCAACATTGATTACAGGTTAGCATATACTTGGCTCTTCCACAGTTTGCTCGCTAGTATAGAAAGAATCGTCACTGTTTAAAAGCTTAAGCGAGGCAAGTGTTTGACCTTTTGTTATCTGCACAGTTATCACAGGCTTTTAAAATTTCTTCTGATTGCAATTTGCATTTCTGATTAGGTCTATTTATATGCAGATGTGGTTGTGTTAGGTTCTGCATCACATAGTTATCTCCTTCTACCCTGCCTAGACATGAACTGCCGCCACGATTTCCAAAATTATTCGTACTGAAGCAGCAGTATTACTGATTACTTTCGCACAAGTATAAAGCAGATCCCTTTCTCTGCGTCATGTATTAGATCCAAAGTTTATCGCTGGCGGTTGGCCTTGGTAAATATACTAAATGTTCCTGTATAAAGCAACACCAAACTGTGTTGCACTGTCATAGTCAGGCCGTGGTACCCTATAATCAAACTTTGTCTTGTCTGGAAATATGATATGGAAAGGTCTGAACTGGAACTAAAATGTTTGATCTTTTTTCATTCTTGGTCATTGCTGTGAGGTTCCTACCTCTATATTGTCGTTACTGTTTTTCTTTGATAGTCCTCACATCCCTGTCCTTTAGCTTTTCTGTAGGGAGATTCAGATACTTCCATCTCTGATCAGAGTCTTTTCTGCTGAAAGTGTTTCATTTGATTGAAGATGTCCTTAGCAGGGCACTGTAGATAACAAGGCCTCAGTCATTCTTCTTTCCCTCACTGTCTCTCGTTTCCTCAACCTAAACAGCAACTGTCTTGTCTGATTGCTTTGCCTTTCTAAGAAAGGAACATGACTTGTGCTTTATTTGCACAGTTCTTTCCTCCCCCCTGCCCACCATCCTCTTCAGGGTAAAAATTTTATTGCAAGGATTCTAGTGAAAGGCCAGTAAATGCTTCTGTTAGAGAAACAGCATTACTCAAAAGACTGCACACATGTTATCCCTGTCCTCCATTTTTAGTGTGTCTTAAGCTGTAAGTATGAGCTACCTACAGTACGAAATAGGTGATGTATGTGTATTGATGAAAACATTATTGATTCTTGGTGAGAGTTAGACATAAATACACTGTTTCTCATATCAAGATTTCTGACTTGCTGCTGCCAGCTGACTCTGTGTGAACAGAACAATGAAAATGTTTTCTTCCATTAAGTTCAGCAATGTAACATGTCATTAGAGATTAAACTTATCTTAACGAAGTGTCCAAATTTCAGAGGGAAGATGAGACATTCAGAAAATTCTGAGTGCTCAAGCTTGGCATGAAGAACAGGTGACTCCACAGCACTGCACTCCTCTGAAAACCTGACCAGAAATTTCACATTAGGAGGTAGTGGACACTGAGCATATTTGAAAATACTGTGTAGATATGAACTTCATAACTTTTATAATATGGTGTGGAATATGAGTGATGCCTATATATCTTCTAGTGCTTAACAACTTCTCTTGCACTGCAGAGAATATAGTGCTGTAGCAAATATCTGCTAGCCAAGATGGAGTGAAGAAATGGCAGCTAACTTCTAATGATTCATTAGACCTAAGTTGTAGTTGTTATCTCTACTGCATAGTTTTGGAAAAGGGTAAGATTACATGGTCATGGACTAATGCAAATTTAAAAGACCTCTTTCATTCAAGGAACATTTATATGAATATGCAGTGTCATGGGAACAGTTTTGATTATACATGCATGAATGTTAGTCTTAAAACTTATATGAGAAGAAAACATTATGTTAGAGCAAATGTTAATGTTCTGTTTTTCAATGGTGATCACATTCTACCTCATTGAAATGAATTCTTGGACCTAACTCATAAATCTCCGGAAAAGGTACCTCCAATGCCTACAGATAGAGATAAATCATATTGAGAAGACACTGAACCATGAAATGATTCTGTTAACATGTCATCCGTCTAGAGTATATTTTCAAACCTGTAACAGAAGGGTATAAATTATGAAGGGAAGGTGGTCTAGGAAAGTTGGTAATTTGGGAGTTGGTACTTTTAACCTCTTCCATCTGTTGCCTCAGCTTAGGTGTGTCTGTTTTGGCTGAATAGTATGAAGTGAAATATTGCTAAGTGCCAACTACCAGTATACCTAAGCTTTTTAAAATAAAACAAGCCCATAAATTCTTCCAACTCTATTTTCTCATGACAAGCGTTATTATCAGCACTACCTCTTAAGTTATCAGTGACTTGTAATTTTGAAAAGACAAGTGATAGCTGTGATAAGTGGCAAAAGGGATAAAAATTCTACTTTATAGTCTGGAAAGTGTTTGTGTGTGAACTAGCCCAAACACAGAATTCAGACCAAGTTGTGTACAACCTGTGTATCAGGATCTGTCTCTTCACTTTATCAGGAGGTGATAAATTAAGAAGAGTTTTCTAGGCTACACTGATACTAAAGGAACCTGAGCCAAATTCTCCACTAATGGAATATCAATCAGGTGTTGCTCTTCTGAAGTCAGAAGAAAGCACCTGTTTTAAAAATGACCGTTGATAAGAAACATTAAGTTTTCTCACAAAAAAACCTATGCTTCATTAATTCATGTAGTGGGATTGAGCTGCACCCCTTTGGAGGGTGCAGTGCTTCAGCTGCTTTACTGGGGCCTGAGGTTCTTAAGAGTGTCTGTTACTTTGTGTTTTGTGATTCTGGACTGCTTCAGGAGCTGACTTGGCTTTAGCAAAACCAGCTCTGGTATCTCCACTTTGTATCCCATCACCTCTTCAACTCCCAGGTAGTTCACAGATGGGTGATCTGAATATCTTTGTACTCTCCGTGCAAACACTCACTTCATCATTAATATCGGTAGTGCACTCTTGGGAGGTTCTGTAAGACTGCCCAGTTATTGTCACTTTTAAGGTATGGTAATGTGAAGAGACAAGATAGGCCTGCTTTCTTTTAATAGATGGTCTGACTGTGGATCTGTCATTTTAGTTAGAGGTGCCAAGGTATCTGTGACTCTCCTTTGTCTTGCTGCATGTGATGTAAAGCAGCTGGTGTACTATAGGTAATTTCTTCCATTTAAACAAGTGAAAGCAGTTTAGGGGACACTACTCTCTGGGATTAACTTTGTATTAACAATTTCTAGTATAGCCTTTCATACTGTAGGTGGTTCTACCAGCTTTTTTTGTAATTTTGCCATTTGCGTTAATACTGATGTATCATGTGGCCTACACGTTGAATCCTGCTACATAGGACAGTAAAGAAATACAGGTTTGAGTTATAGGACAGTAAAGCTTAGAGTTGATTGCTGTTGTGAAAAAAGAAACTCCCAAAGAATTAATAGAATTGTAGTTATTTAAAATGAATTGTTTGAAATAATTAAAGGAACGTGCTTAATATAGTCTTATGATGAATAATTTGGTGGCAGCTGTACAGGTTTCATAGCATATTGTTCATATCCTAATAGGTACATGAAATGTAGTTAAAGCACTGTTACTAAATTAATACAAAGGATCAGATTCTGCCCATGGGTATAGGCAAGGCATCATAATTTAAATAAAAGTTCTGTATACAGGTCCAAGGAATTGTTTTTCCTTTAAGAATCATTTTGTTGTTTGGTACATTGAATTTTCATTTGCTTGTTGTATTTTTTTAGAAAATATAAATTTGAAGAATGTGAGGTGATACGTCACACCCAAGAATACTGTAGAAACATCTAATGAGTAGAAATACAATGTCCTCATGGTCCTTCTTGGTTGGTATATGAATGACAAATGGATTCAGGAACAGAGGATCTTGCTGCAGTTATAAAAGAATACGGATCTGAGATTGGGGATTGGGGAAACCCTTGCAAGCTCTTCAGTGTTTTACAGTCTCTTTATATAACCTTGGACAAGTCAATCTTGACTAGATTTTCAAATTTAAGTGCTTTGATGTGCTGCTAGATGGAATTTTCCAATTTATATGTTCCACTTCCTCTGAAGCTCTTTTTTTACTGCTGTTCTTTGTTTTGATTGTTCAGAAAAGTTCAGAATCACAGATTTCAAAGAAGCTGAGGCATGGAGGTGTTTTCGAAAATCTCAGTAAATGCTTGTGTTCAGTTATGTCTTCCTTACTGCATGTTTTAGGTGTTCTTGGCAGAACTTTTCTAAAGCTTTAAGACCCTTCATTGCTATTTTCTTGGTAGACCGGACATCTGATGTGAGGTTAAAAAATATTTATCTGTGAAAAAAAAATGCAGATAAAGAATGTGAAAATATTGCTGGAAAGGAGTTCCTGGTTCCAGTTCCAGTGGGTGGTGTGAGGCTACCACATGTTTTCCACAGTGATCAATTCTAAATTCCT